TCTGCTTTCTTGCAGTGGAACAAAAGGTGTTCCACAGTTTCTACTTCTTCTCCACAGCCTGTACATATGGGATCTCCAACCTTTGTTCTGTCAAAGATTAGCTCTTTAACTGGTATTGCATTATTCATGCATTTCCAGATAAAGAACTTTAGTTTTTGTTGGACATTCAATTTCCATATCTGCTTCCACAACTGCTATCAGGCAAGGTACTCAAGCTACCAGAATTTCCAAAATTTAGTTCAGAATGACCCACAAATAAATGAGCACCGGCTTCCTGTAGTGCACCCATGTAGCTATTCCATACAATATCCGAACCACTGACCTCATAACCCTGTAAAGGTTGCAACTTTGTTTATACATTCTACCCACAAACTCAAAAACTCCAGCTTTAAATGACAAGAAGAATGGTCAACCTAAATAAGGAGAAGCGGAAACCTTCATGAATTAATTAAAAGATGAGCTTGTGAGAAAAGATAAAATACAGGTTTATGTCATGCTTGCAAGTAGCGTTTTTGGGGGGAGGGGGGGTTAGGACTTGAGGAGAGGAGCATGTAGTAGTTACTTGCTTGAGGGCAAGCAATGCAAGACCAGACATCCCACAACCTCCCACACCCGCGAAGTGAATCCAACCCTTGTCTTCTTTAGCATTGAATTTTCCAGGATGATTACAGCTCGATTGAGCTGCCGTTGCAGAGACAAACACTCCATTGGGCTTAACGGTAGTATAGCTAGTCGAGGGCGAGGTAGGTGTCCAACTGTTGTTTTTGGTCTCTGGGAATCGCTCAAGATTGGCTTTCCCGCCAGATGTTGGGAGAAAGTGGTGTTTGAGGTTCCGGGGATGGTTTGTCGGAGAAACGAACCGCGAATCGCACCGCCACCGCCGCTGATTTCATTTCTCTGCGGACTTTGGTTCTATTCTTTGACCGACGACGACCATCTCCATTCGGTCGGCTTTGTTTTGTTTGAGTTTTGACTCAATTTCTAAAGCCCATTTTAGCAAATTAGATGCGGATTGAGGCCTCAGAATTTACGGGCCGTGGTTCAAATCCCTTTCCCCTCTCCGCCTTTTCTCCCTCCCTATTTCTTAGCGGCCTCAGAATTTACAGGCCATAGTTCAAATCCCTTTTCTCCTCTTCGCTTTTTCTCTCCACCTATTTCTTAAATCTAATCCCCCTCTTGAATTTTTTTTTTTTTTTTTTTGAGAAAAAGGATTGCAGGTTGTCTTTGCAAACGATTAAAAAAATTTTTTTGCGGGCTTAAAAACAGGTGGTCTCGAGTTGTTGAGGACCTTCGTTACGGCTCGTTGGTGAGGATAATTCTTTCGGGCTTTTATAGAGGCCCAGTAACCTATAAAAAGGTAGGCCTGGTTCTGGAGTGAACCCAACTTTAAGCATAGGTGCCGACTCCAATCGTACTTGAGAGGCCAATTCTCTCTAGGAATCCTATTTTTGTTATGTTAAACGCTCCTACTCCTATTCCATCATAGGTTTGTCATCCAAAATCTAGATGTAGTTCAAGTATTAAATTTTTTAAAAAGTAAAATTATTGTGAAAAGTGTACAAATGTAAAAAAAGGATAATAATTATTTGTATGTGTATCACCCTATTTTTGCTATGTTACACTCTTACTTCCATTTCATCATAAGTCTGTCATTCAGATGTAGATGCAATTCAGGTATTAAATTTTTTATAAAGTAAAATTATTTTAAAAAAGTATAATAATTATTTGTATGTACATTCATATAATAGATTGAATATGACGACTTAAAAATGTGTTAACAAGTATTGCTGAGCATTCGTCAGGAAAAAGCCCTCCTATTAGTTTTGAGGATTTATTTGACTCAATACTCTCGTATTGCTACGTATTGTATACTACATATAAAGAGAGGAGAACGTTGGCGTAAACTTTTTGTATCGCTTTTTTCTATTTCATATTTTACCCTCCAAATAAAGGTAAAATGATACCACCATCCCAACAAAAAACAAGGGCACACAAACACAAAACACATACACGCGCCCTTATTTTTTGACCCCGATAGAACTTCTAATAAGACAATAATAACCATTAACAACTTCCAATTAAAAGAAGAAAGAAAGCAAGAAAAACACAATACTTGTTCTAAATGAGTATAACGCATGGATAATAAAAACTTTAACAACTACCAAAAAACTTAATAACTTTTTTATTTTAAAAATTTTCTTGTTTTAAATTTACACACACACACACGTAGTGTGTGTATTTCCCACTAGTTAGTATGACAGAGTTGAAACGTATGACTCGATAGAGAACCTCAACCAATGAAACGGGGATAGCCACTAGGCCTTTGGCTTGATGGCGTGGGAGGTAAGGTTCAACCCTTGCCAACCCTTGACCTCCCACCAATTTGTTATTATATGTGGCGATTTTAATTGGCCATCAAAAAAAAATTAAACAGGAAACGGGGAAATGCCAAGGAAAAGAAAATGGATGCATGAACCTCAATCCATTCACTTTCAGATTTTGTTCACTAACGCAAACAACTAAAAAAGACAAGAAAATGGATTAGAAATAGCATTAGACCCGAAAAAAAAGGGGGGCTTTGATGTAAGGGGCGGGGGAAAACGGTTCCTGGACGCAAGAGTTAAAAAACTTTCTACCTGACCACAATGGATTAATAATTCAGATGTAAAAGGGGAGATATTCGACCTTGGCATGTATGATCATGAAGACATACAAATTTATTTTTTTTTTTTTAAAAGGATTTTATCGGCGTGATTCATGATTGATGGCGCGTGCGAGATGACTTAACTATTGGGAGGTGGTAGAAGAGAAGGGGGTAGGTCGGTTCAAACTTACTGGTACAAGTTTTCCTGACAGTAACCCTTTAATTTCGACTGAAAGCAATTACCAGATTACATCTCCAGGTTATTACGACAAAACTTTTTTTTTTTTAAAAAAAAAAAGGGGTGTGTTACGTATGTATACGTACTTTGGTTATAATTATATGACAGATGTGGCATAGTTTAATTTGTAAAGCTCTAGTTAGAAAGAGAGAGTCAGAGCTTTGAAAGTCAAACTATCAATTCAAAAGGATAACCAAAATGAAAAGAGACACGGTCAGAAGGTTGAATGAACTGGCTGATCAGGCAAGCAGAAATCCATTAGTAGCAGTATTAGATAACTCATAACTGGAGACGCAATTAGAATTCCACCGACTCTTTAGTGGTGGGTCTACGAATCTCTTGCTCCGCCATGCATCCAAGTCAGTGGATCACTCTCTTTTTGGCCGGATGGGACGGAACCAACTACTTTCAGAGTAGTTAATCCTCAAGATAGCCTCAAAACTCCATTTAAATGTAGATCAACTGATCGAATCACTTAATCTTACATTCTAAAAATTCAGATTCTTCTGAAATGTTTCGTCAACGAGTGGATAGGCATCTATCTGAAAACGATAGTGGTTCAGTTCCCTCAAATTTTCTCCTTAATTTTGTTGAGTCATCTTCTTTCTATAATATAGAACAGGAATAAATCTATCATACCTGACAGAAAAAAAAAAAGAAAAAAGGATGGGATGGGATGGGATGGGAAGGGACGGGACGGGATGTGAACCCAAGAAAAGTTTGGTATTATTGTTCCAATTCCGCCAGGGTACTCTTCATCATCTTCATATTATTGCCTCTCTACAAATCTTACACGTAGTCCTGAAAGAAAAGAATAACTATAAAATCTTACAACGCTTGATTCATTGATTGGTACGTTGACGAGGAGATCCAACGCAATGCCCGGAAAGAATAACTAAACAAGGGGAAAAAGTTCCCTATCTGGCTCCAAGGGATTGGTTCTTGGTTTTCAGTGGTAACTAGTGGCTCTAACGACTATGATTATTTGCAGATTACAGTACTAAGTACTTATTCATTCTCCCCATTTGGGTGACTCGAGCATAAGAGCAACTTTCTTCAGGTCTCTTTATCGTCATTGATTTGTTTATTTTCATGGGTGACAAGTCAACTGGCAATTAAATATTTTTTGGTGTAGGGTCCTGAATTATATAGAATGAGTTGTCAGATGTATTTTAGATGGATTTGGGGCGGGGATTGTCATCAGACGGACCGTTCCTGAGCAGTTCATAGTCAAGATTTGGTCAAAAAAATTTATACGGTCCAGATCTCATCTTATACCTCGTTTTTAACAATATGTGTGGGATCTACAAAATTTTATTCTAAAATTACACGTTGTTAAAAGTAAATTACATCATGTACAAACAGAATTACACCGTGTACAAAATGCACGTAACTGTCAAAAACGATTGCACCTGCAACTAGTCCTGCCCCTCTGTCAAGAACGATTGCACCTGCAGCCATTCCTGCCCCTCTGTACACTCTTACACTGCCGTTCTCAAGCCAGACATTCTAACATTGATGAAGAATTGTCGTGCGCTTTCTTTTTTTTCTTCTACTAATAAATGATATGGTTCATTCGTGTTTAAACTTAGATTATCATACATTTGTTAAAAGAAATTAAATGGCATGGCATTCGATTCTCCCCACTTCTTAAATTCTGTCCCTCTTCTCCTGTTGGAAAAAAATATTTTAAAAAAAATCAAGAGTTCAAGACAAAACAACACGTCTTAAAGTTTTGTATTTCAATTTCAAGCATGCTGCCTGCAAGATGATTTGGTTCCCAATTACATTATTATTTATAAATTATAAGAAATTAGCGGGATGGTTTATTTGCCTGCCTCTCAAATTAGGAGAGATACATACAGGCAGCGCTTTGATATTGAATAACATCCGCAATAAAATGAGGGACTCTGGATACATAATGATGCCCTCTGCTCATATCATTATCAATCTGATATTCTCGAGGGACAGTAAATGATATTGTTCAAAGTTTGAGATTTTGTTCAGCTTCAATTTAATCAGTTCCTTCTTTTTCCCTTTAATATGAAAAGGTCAAAAGTAAAAAAAAAAAAAAAAAAAGGCAGTTCCTCCCTTTCCTTTTCCCTTAATTGGCCGTCCTTTTCTATATGAAATATCTGGTACAATTATGATTGGACGTCAATTTGTACAAGTTACAAGCGAACGGACCAAGAGCCTAGTAATTTAACACGCTAAGCAACACATTGCTATTGCCGCAAAGAGTTCTGCAAGAAGCAACTAAATTTGGACAGGGACCAGATTAAATTACTCAAAATCCTTGCTCGAGTCTCCCTGTTCCTTAAAATTCTTTGACTAGTCAAATAAGAGGTCAAAATCAAGTCCATATTTAGTCGAACCCCCTCTTTTCTTTTTTCTACAGCCGCGACAAAATGCGCCCCGTTGAATTAATTTACCCCTTTATGAACCCTTATGCAACTTGATTCTCCGGTTGATTTCCTTTTCCAGCTCTTCAAGCCCCCCTACTTTTTCAAGTTCCTGTATCCATCAACAACCACCCTGCATTAGGATTGATTCTCTCAATTTGTTCTAATCTTTTAGTTACACTACTTTTTTCTAGAACGGGTCAAGCCCAAGGATGTTTTTTTTTTTTTTCCTTTCCCAAGAAGTGGGAGGTTTATTCCTGGACATGATGAATTAACTGTAAAGCAATAGTGCACTATCAATCAATAATAAAAAAAGAAAGCGGGAAGTAGAAGAGGTTGAGAAGGGAAACCACCTTAGGTCCTAAGAACAACCCATATGGGACGCCGCTGAACTTGTCCGAATGATGCAGCTGAAAATCCCACACACCAAAATGGAAGAAGATGGTGGCCGTTAGCTTCCGTTACAAAAGATCATGTGTACCACAATTTATTACTCCCCGATTCGCTGTTAATAAACTATATATAGTATGATGCATGAACTGCTAATTGAGGACCCCCGATTCGCATGCATTATTATAAAAATGGATTTTGCTACAAAAGTGCAGAAAGAAAAGAATACCTGATGTGCAGCTGCAACTCTTCTGAAGTAAGGAACATTTGCAATGGGACCAACCGGAAATCTCTTGTGCACCAGACCATCGTGGACGAACATGTAAGCCATGCCAAACACTGTAATCCCAAGGCCCTGCACGTCAAAATCATAACTTTCTACATTACTCTCAGTAAAAAGAACACGGGGCGAATACAATCTCCAGTGATTGTGAACGAGAGGAGGCACTTACGGCACCGAAGCAGAGGCCAGGAATGAGGCCCTTGTGGAAGAAGCCATAAGAAAGGAGGGCTATGGCAGGGACGGCGTTGATTATGGCGAAAACGTCGTTAAGCTCGAAGGGCCCTTCTCTTGGTTTATGGTGTGACTGTAATATGTAATCATCAAAGATGAATCAGGTTCCCGTGGAATTCCCAAACAAGGTCAAATTTAGAAAAATCTATGAGCGAGTGCTACTAGTACTAGTATAAATCTGCCTGAGCAGCCGAGAAATTGGGATTAGAATTAGTTAAATTTTAAGTGTAAAGATAATCTCAGTTGACAGTTTTGGTCGGATTGAATCCAATTTTTAACGGTTTATTAGTTTGTCTTCGCCCCCTCCTTTTATCTTTGTCAACACAGTTTCTTCGCAACCGATCATTAGCGGGGACGAGTTCATAAACATTAAAAGACAAAAGCGCCGAAATATATATATTATGAGAGCCGAAAGATTGGAAAGCGAACCTCGTGCATGTGCCATAACGAAGCGTGCCACAGCGCTTTGTGAGCCCATCTCGCCCAGAATTCCATTCCCACCTAATAATAAAGATATAAAACATAATCCCAGGCAAAAAAAAAAGAAAAAACCAAATTCATGATCAAATTTCGATCAGACACAAATACCCAAAATCAAAAGAGTGAATTATGGATGAGTAATACTACTAGGACTAGAAACTTACAGCTGCACCAACTGAAAGAGCAAATGTGCCAAACATTTCCGAATAAGGCACCTCTCCGCCCTAATACCCAAAAAGCAAAAAAAAAAAAAAAAATCCAGTAAAATATCAGGATGCAAGAAAATGTGACACACCCACTAAATTAAATCTGTTCAAATTGACAATTAAACATATGTGCTGGAGCAGAGTATAAAATTCGATTCTCTTCCTGCACATAAACAGAGAGATTAATACACATGATACACGTAAACAGAGAGAGAGAGTTGAATAATGCATATACCTCCATTTGCCAAACAAATCTGTAGTAAACAGCCAGAACTGCCATGGAAGTAATTCCGAAGCTAGACATGACGGCCGCAACGAGATAAGTGAACCTCTCCGATCTCTTCCTGGCTAGTTTCTCCGCCGTTCTTGCATCAGAGATCCGCTTCGCCATCGCTTTCTCGCGCTCTCGGGCTTCCTCCTCGCTTGTTACCAACTGGGCTTTCAATTCCTCATCCTCCAGCACAAAACAAACCGTCAACCTGGGCTTCCTTCGAGTTGTGCTGAATTGCTGGGCTAAAGGGGAAAAAGTCAGACTATCTGCGACTAGGTAGGTGGGTTTTCGGGTTAGAAATGAATTGACCCGGAAACAGACTGTCTGGGCTCCGGCTGCGACGGCAATTCCGGCAGCCATAGACGGTGGTCGTACTTGTATCCGGTGTTGATTTTCTCAGAATTTGGAGAATTCTTGAGAGACGGAGAGAGATAGAGTGTGTGCGTGTCTCTGTTTGTGTGTGTGTGTTTAGGCGTCTTCTACTTGTAGAGCCTGATATAGGCTTGAAAGGAAGTGGGATTGGAAATGTTTAGAGAGTGATTTATCTGAACTGCCTGCGAAGTCTCAACAAAGGCAAAGGCGGTTGCTGATGCTCGAGACTTGAGAAATGAGACTAGAGAGGTGTGTGTGTTTGGCAAAGCAGAGTTGCAAAGGTTAACTGCATGTAGACCACATGTTCTCTTTGTGGACGCTTCCTCACTCTCTCTCTCTCTTTGAATTCACTGCCTTTGGTGCATCCACAGTGCTATTACACTTTATGGAGTGTAATCCACAGCATTACACTTTCTCCTCTTTTATTACACTTTCACTCACAATAGATTACACTCTACAAGGTGTAATAGCATGAGTCTACAATTAAATCAAATACTTATTTTAATAATGCATAACTCATATCCCATAAATAAATAAAATAATTTTTAAAAATAATTTTGTTATTTTTAAAAAATAAAGTACTAACTTTCATTAAATTTTTTACCTTTTGAATTTTTTATTTTCTAAAAATGATATTATTAATTTTTAAGTTTGAATAATATATCTTTTTCTATCTCTCAAAAATAATATATTGTTATTTTTTCAAAAATGATTATGCACAAAATTAAACAAATATTTGATACCTCAAATGCGAATATATCATAATAATCCATACTTAATTAATAAAATACTAATGTAATTAGTTGAACTCCATAACATAATATTACATAATTTAGATCAAATAAAATACAAATACTAACAAAATGAATACTAATTTTAAAACATTTAAAAATAATTATAGGTCCCACAGCATCATGGACATGATGCGTGTAATTTCCATGACACGGCTCCAATGGGAGATCGTGTCATGAAGCAGTATAATGGGGAGCCATTGCACCCGCGTTGTGGATGCCCTTATATAGCTGAAGCTGAACCACTGAGCTTGGGGTCTCTAAGTCCGTCCTTGGATTGTAGGTACCGATTTCAAATCTATCTGTAGCGAAAAAACTTTAAGAGCAGTGCCAACATATTTCTTTGATTTAATGAGTTCTGTGTACCTCAAGTCTCTTTAGGCTCCTCATCATCGTCTATATATTAGAATAGAATAAATTATATAATTGTTATCATCTCTGAAAAAATATATATATGTATATATATAGCTGAAACTGAATGTATTCCAGGTTCATTTATGTATTTTCATTATTCTTTTACTTCAATTGCCAATCAATTTTTATTATTGTTATTATTGTGGGTTTCCATAGAGAAAGTACTTTTTATTATTATTATGGGATTTTGTAACACATAGTATTTTTCCTTGAGGGATTTGTAACGGATTCTTAATGTACGCTTGTTATTTAACCTATCACATAAATACATAAATTAATAATTATTATTCTGTCTGGCATTTATAAACTTTCTCTAGTTAACTATACATTTCCAAAATATTAATACGTGAGTAATAAATAAAATTAGCGGGATGCACAGGACTTACATAGGGTTAATGTAATATTGCACGATATGGGCTCATGCCCACCCCTACCAATGTTCACTTTAGGACTTAATTGGATGGACCAAGATTGGGTGAGTATAGGTTAGTCCCACTTAAATACTCAAATTACTGATGTTGACCCAAAGCATTTGTCACAAATCTAATAAACCTTTTATTAATTTTTTAAATTTCTTATTTATTCTTGTGTTTAGTTGCTCTTATTATCTTTCGTATTGCAAAAATGAAGCTTCAACTTGCATGCTATTGTTCGCATTTAAAGTGATGATTGTGATTTTTTATATATTCACCTTGGAAATTTAGATTAATTAGTATTGAGTTATTTATGTAAACCTCCTAGTTTTAGCTGTTGTAAAATTTAGATTTTTTTTTTCTTTTTCTGGCTTTTCCTGAAAAACTTTGGCGAAGATTGAGATGGCATTTGCGTAGTTTTGGCGAGAGGAAGGGGATAAGTGCCAAATTCAAGGAATCTGACGGTGGTGGTGGAGCCGCGGAGGCGGATGAAACAAATAAATAACAAAAGAGTTCAGAGTAGGATGACAGATGGCAAAAGCCCATAGGGAAGAAATTAGGTGGATGGCCATCCGGGGAGATTGCGGGGGAAAGACAGCGAATCAGAACAGACGTTCCGAATAGTTTCGATTGCGTTCCGTCAATGCTTTCAGCCTAACCCTTTAAAAAAAATTTAAAAAATTATTGCCCTTTTCTCGTTGCATGCATCAGAATCAGGACACGCCTCCAAAAAATATCGCCCTAGTCTATTAGAGAGTTTTGTCCCTTATTGTCGAGGTTTGAGATGTTAGTGTCGGCTACGCGGATGGGCCATTTTTCCTTTAGCATCGATGCTTTAAGGTTTGAAAACCTTTCCATTTGGCGCCCTTCCCGGCTAGGCAGCTCGATTGAAGAACCCAATCGTGTCATGCTATTGGACAGTGAAGGTTAAGATGTCGGCACAATTGTTCGGTTATTATATATTTTACGTAACTTGATATATGCTAAAGTTATTTTGTTATACACATGAATTTTGTTCGTGTACACTAATTCAATATATAATAATTTTTAAAAAAATATATATATAACAATTGCATCAATTGTGATTAACCTCGATCCGGCCTATCCTAATCCAATATCATGCCATCTTCATCATTCGTGCCACGCACACAAGAAAAAGATGTCATACTAATGTTGAGCATAAAGTATCAAATCCAAGTGCATAATTGCCTGCTTTGTCCTAAGCTGAAAAATGTTATTAACTTGATTCGCGACTAAAGCGAAGTAGTCATTCGTTAACTTATTTGACTACATCATTTCACGGCGCCCATGAGAGCAAAGAAAAGTTACAGTAATTATTTCAAATAATTTCATATTCAGACGTGACATCACCAGCGTCCGGATCTTCTAATCCATTACGTGCAAGCCAATTGAGTGGAAATGCACCTTACATTCTCGCAGTGGTCAGCATTTTGGTTGCTCCGGCAATTAGTTAGGTAACGCTTACCAATATTTTGTAAAAAGTTTTTATTTACATGCCATCAACAAGATTTGCAACAAATTTTTTTTTTTAATATTTGTAATATTTTTTGTCTCGCAAAAAGTGTATTATAGCGTGATTCAAGAAACTTCTCAAAATAATCTTTCTATCGAAACACGCTAAATGCTATCCTCTCCTTACTGTGACTATCAACATCTGAAAAAGATCACCAATCGGTGAATGACCTATAAAAGAGAAAGGGCGGAAAAAAAGAAGATTCGGACCAGTAAGTAACCATTGATAATGGGTGGGTGTGTCAGATGCCTTATGAGCTACAGGGCCACTGAAAAGGCTCGAAGGTTCCCTCGATGACACGGACAAGCATCATTTTAAATGCAAAGTATCCGGAACAAATCCCGGACTAGGATTTTCAGTCATCACATCATTGTTCTTCGTGGGAAACCGGAAGGAATTCTATTGTTTGTCGAAAGATTGCCGCTTGTCACCTTTCGGGTGCAAAATCGACAAGGTCAAGACTGCTTGACAAATGTCCCTCTTTTTCTTTTTTCATGGGAAATCGGATGCAATATATTTGTGTGTTGTTTCTTTTCGTCATGACTCTAGCTATAGGAGCAAGTTTTTTGTTTAATACTAGAGCAACTCAATTGATTTCCCTCTCTGTTTGAGAGAATTTTATTGTCTTTTTTTTTTTATTGGAATTATGGAGTTCCCTTGGAGCATCAACTGGGAAAGACGAAGTGTAAAACATCTTAATTGGTTTCTAAATTCCAAATATCCAAGTTAACCGCTGTAATTAAGGAGAAAGATTGGGTCACAATTTAAGTGGTACCCATCCATCTCCTGCGATTTATATTATAGGACAAGGTCGATATCCTGCTTTGCATTTCCAACTTCTTGATTTTGGAACAAATTTTTTACCGTCCTTGAATTGGAAAATGAAAAAAAAAAGAAAAGAAAAAAGCTCGTTATACTTAGTCGACATGGGGAACAAAAATATCATATCCCCAGACAGTGAGAAAACTAGAAAAAGCCTCAAAAAGTCAGTTAAAATCCTTTGCCTTTAAATTATCTTCTATCCCATATTTATACACATTCATAACTCAAGCAAACTTTTGACTTGTTAACCGAGTTTATGATCAATTTGCTTGAATTATCAATGCGTCAATACACCTGTACAATCACCGAACAGACAAAGGATTTGAAGCGTGTTTATCACATGATGGACTAAATGCGATCTAATTGGGCTTCTGCAGTGTCTGCGGATAAAACATCGAGTCTCATCAAGAATGACGAACAAGTTAGAAGAATAAATGGCCCGCAAAGCACTACAACAGTGTGTATTAGGATTTGGGCTTTACACAAAATCATAATCCGCTTCTCTCTTCATTTCGAAGATTGAGGATAAGTGTGTATTAGTGTGTCATAGGCACTAGTCAGGATTATGGAATGGGCCAAGCATGTCCTTTTGAAGAAGCCGAAACACTTTTTTATTTTTCAAGAATGGTTAGAACGTAAATTGATGTATTGTATTTTGTCTGGTTGCTCAAATACTGGTGACATTCACATACTGTCCAATTGAAGGACATATTTGGGCAGGGAATCGGGAGGGCATAATTTGTACGAGTGCGTCTGATTCTGAGCTGTTTGATGGAAATATAAACTAGGACTTTTTCTTTTTCCCGACAATTACCGGTTACAAAGCCCAGTGATGGATGGTACAGAAATTGATGCTATCGAGCCAAGTTCTGAGTTCAAGTAGCACTAAGTACCATTCCAGCTCGAACTCGATTACTATTAATGCTACTCGAGTTCGAATTCAAGTTTGAACGAATACAGAAATTGAAACTTGAACTCGACTTGATATAATGAAAGTCAAACTCGAGCTTGACTTGTTTGAACTCGAGCAAATATCAAGCTCGAGTTACTCAAGTCTATACCTATGATTTTTTTCTTGTTTTCAATTTTTTACCTTTTAGATTTATCAGATTACCATTTTGTCATCCATCACTCTTTTTTTTTTTTACCAAACATTACTTCATGTAAATTTATTAAAATACGAATCCATAATAGTCATTACATAATTAAAATATATAATATATAAATAATATAAATACTCGATTAAATTCATCGAGTACTCGAATTTTTATTTCTAATACTCGAACGCAACTCGTTACGTGCTCAAGTTCGAA